AACATTGTGAATGAAGCAGCAATAAATTAAATATTATTATTACATAAAATGCATAAAATATTATTATTACATAAAATATTATTACATAAAATGCGACGTTTTTCTGAAAAATGGAATAGAAGTGAATTTTTTTTTGAGAAAAATGCTTTGTTCTTATTTTTCCGTAGAAAATTAAAATAGTTTATCCAATGAGCTATCACCAGTCTCCAATTCGGCGGTCCCACTTATCACCAGCGCAATCTCTTACACACTTTATGAGCTTTATTTTACCGGGCTCTTTCCGCCAGGATTTATTTATCTCCAGTTCTCACCTGTGACGAAAGCTTGTGAAATAATGTCTTTCAGACGTTGAAGCTGCAGCAAACTTTGCTCCTGCTGAAGCCGTTGGGGGATGCTTTGGAGAACAGCAAAGCAGCCCTGTTTCAGTATTGTCACAGTGTATGTTATTCATTATTGACAGTGCAAAAATTAATTTTAAAAAAAAACGATATTTTGGAATTTACTAAAAACAAAGGTCAAATTTTTTTCCTCTTCTCTCCCCCTTCTTTCCTCTCCCCCCGCCTCCATTTCCTCCCCCTGCGTTTTCTCCCATGATTCATTGTCTTCGAAAAGTGAGGGCTCTCGTAAGGCCTACTGTTATTGCAGGCTTCTGAGCAACCATTTGCAGAATTAACCTATCAACTGTCAGCATGCTTAATCAAGCCGCATTGCCACACTGGTTGTCATTTAGCCCAACTTTTACCATTTTTAAAATATGGATAGAATTTGCAGCATTTGAAGGATGAACGATTTGAAAATATCCTTGAAATTTTGGATAATCGATTGGATAGAAGTCGACATACTTCCGAACGATCCGCATTAGCAGGTCGGCAAAGGCGTTGCTTTGCGATTAGGGTAAGTTTGTAACTGCAACAATAAGTTTTCGCGTTACTTTTTCTTGTTTTTTTTTTTTTTTGTTTTTTTGAAATGTGTTCGAACTAATCGAATTGTTTTTCTGCGGTTTAAAAACGCTGGTTTGGCCAGAAATTCTAGTCACTGAAATTTTTCTAGGAGGGCACGGACCAAGTTATTGATATGTTGCGTCGTGGTTATGACGAGCTATTGCAAGACACTCAGGGTAAATGTTTAAACTGTGATCACAGGCTGATTTCAGTTTGTTTCTTTTTCAATGCACTGTGAGCACTGGTGGGTTTCTAGTGAAGCGGGGAGACGTGCTAGCTCTCTTCTTCAATATTTTTGAGTTAAGTCCAAGAACAGGCCATCGAGGTCTTTAAAGATGAGGCTTAGATGAGTTTTTGTTCCTAAGCAGTAAGTAAAAGATGATTCCGTTCAAGCAAATACTTCAGCTGAGGCTTATGGATTTCCCGCAG